GAGATACGCTTTAAATATCACATTTGCAGCTGGTTGAGTTGATTAACCAACTCTGGTGTCTTTTTTTCAGTTCCTCCACAAATTCATGAGAAAGAAGTGGCGGATCCCTCCAGTCCGTACCCCAGCGGCAGCAGTCAGACGCTAACATGCACCGCCTATGGTCTTCCTGCTCCAAACATCAGCTGGCAGTGGAGGCCCTGGGGCCCCTGCGTCCTCAACAGCACCCAAAACCGCCTGTAAGAAGCACTTCAGTCCATTTGTGCCCAGGATTGATGAAGGTTTGAATGAACAAGTCAGAAAAATGTAGAGCAAAATGTACGGCATTAAAAGCAAAAGAAAGGAATTTGTTTAAAATTTATGAAAAAGGCTTCTGACGAAAACAGAGTGGGAGATTAGAGAGATGAGGCGATGATGAAAGTGATTTGGAGGCTAATGAAAGAGATGTCCTCCTCCTCCTCACCCTGCGTGTGTTCAGCCGACGTCTCTGACAGTTTCACTTTTCCGACAAACATGAAGACAATCCACATGAGCAGGAAAAAAAATGCTCATTTTCATTAAAAATAAGCACTACATGTGTGTGCTCATCATGATGCTGCATGTACACACAGGAACACACAAACACTTTTCACTAAGTGTCGCTTCAGGCTTTTCTTCACTTTCTTTATCTCATCTGAAGGTCACAGCACGATTTAATGAATTCCCCTGGCAGACAGTTGTTTTTTACCTTTTCTTTAAGCTTCAGTGTTCCGGGTGCTCTTGCTGAATTTCCTTTTTGTAGCTATATTCTCCCCCCGTCTTGCCCCAGGGTTTATTTTTTTAAGTTATTGCTGCTCCGACCTTTCCGTGTCGCAGACCCAAGACACCTGATGTGTTCTTAGAGGAAGTACACAAACAGCAGACACTCGTCAGCGTGTAGCAGAACCTCAGCTCCAGCCGTCCGGTCTCTGTTCTTTTACATTCACGGTGCAATCTGATGTGGCATTTTATCGGCTCTGAAGGATACATATTTGTTTTGACCTCTCACGTGTGTCAGAATTGAATTTACTTTTTATTCTCTTAGTCAAGCTCAAAGAGTTTTCTTGTGTCCCTGAAGTGTCTGATGGGGGGGGGGGGGGCACTTCAAGATTAGATGTTTAAAAGCTCAGTACTCTTTCTTGTATGAACTCCTAAAGTCTACAATTATATAAAAAACACAACAAAATTAATTTAACAGCTAAAACATGAAATTTTTATATGTCCCCTTTTAAAAATAAGTCACCTTGCTTTAAGGCTAGCTACATTTTTCAAATAGGTTTTCATTAAAGATAAATGTAAAGTTAAAGTTAACATAAAGTGAAACCGAGTCCCATTACTTTGTCCTTGTATAAAAGTGTCCCTCTGGCAAGAATTCCACTTAAATTCCATTTCATGTTTCATTAGCATCGCTACGATGTTCACATCAGGGTCATCGTAATAGAAATGGTTGTTTCCTCTTTAGTTGCCAGGACACTCGATTTAATTGCTGAGGCTCTGAGGTACAAGCTGAGAAATGCAGTCCAGTGTGTGTGTGTGTGTGTGTGTGTGTGTGTCTGGGGGGGGGGGGGGCTTGATTATTTTTTTGAATTTTTGTCCGCTGCTCGCTCTCTGATGCACATGTCAATGAGTGAAGATGTCACAAATGTGTTTGTGTTGCTCCCCAGGGTCCGGCGAGACAGGAAAGGTCAGGGCGAGCGGAGCGCCGACTGTCAGAACTGGCAGGAGATCAACCCCGAGAACGCCCCGAATGCAATCGAATCGATTGAGACGTCCGTCGAAGTGGTGGATAACCGTCCAAAGGTTCGTCACGGCTGTTTGTGCTAATGATTCCACTGATTTACAATTCTGAAACCGACTGAAACTCAGGCTGGTATTGGCGATACTGATCTGATACTTTGAGCACAGGGGCGGAGCCGGAGGGGTGGCCAGGGTGGCACCTGATTGGCCACCCTAGGTGCCACCCCCAAACGGTTAACAAGTGGGGGTGGGGATCGCATTTGGCAATAGAAGATGGTCAGTTAAAGCTAAAACAAAGTAAATATCTATTATGCAACTGTTTTATCTGGTGTAGATGGAAGTGATCAGCGTGTGAAGAACAAAATAAATGTTCTAAAACCACTGAATTTATATAAAAGCAGCAGCTCTATCCATGCCAAATTTCAGCTCAATATGTATTAAAAAWAGCTGAATTGAATTTAGCTATGGTGGACATCTTGGATTCTTTCATTTGATTTTAGAATCTGTCAGGCATCGCTCTCAGCTGCCACTAGAATAAATATCAGCTTAATATCTCTAAAATGTTTAAATTTAGATTTCAAAACGGCGTGGGGATTGGTCTTGGATACCACCTCATCAAATTTCAGCTCAGTATTTCTAAAAAATGTCTGAGATCCAACTATTTGAAATCAGTTTTGGTGGCCATCTGGGATTTTGTGCTGTGTATTTAATGRCTGAATTATAGCCCTTTGTAAAATGAGCATTAGCGGTTAGCTTAAATTGGGATTATCATTCTTGGCTACGCCACAATAAATTTAATCGCGAATAGTCTTTAAATGGCTGAATTATAGCCATTTATATTTAGCTGTGGGGTTCATCTTAAATTTTCAAATCCAAGGYAGTTTTTATTTGTTTATATGTGCCCCCCTATTTAACACCCTGGCCACCCCTGTGCCACCTTTTGCAAAAATGTCTAGCTTCACACTGTTTGAGCAAATAACAAATACAATCACACAAAATATGTGAAAATTGTGTTTAAATCAATTAAAAATAAGATAAAATAATAAAACCATTATAATTAATCACTATTTAATTATCAAGATCTATCAAAAGGAAAACTTGCATCTTAATTTATGATACATGAACGTAGTGACATGAAAATACTGAACATGTAAATAACRCAGAYTGAGCTYRTGCATTACCCAGGTGGAACAAAAARGTAGTTTCTGCTATTTTCATATTATTTAGACAAGATTTCAGTAGTTTAGCTCCTTTCTGCTCTGTTCCTGTTAATGATACACCTTACTGAAATGACTAAAGCATCAAATTATTGATATTTTGATTTTAGAATCTGTTTTAAAGCATAAAGATCTGCTCCGGATATTTCAGTATCGATCTGTACATCACCACAGTGTACTCTGTTTTTCTATAAATCGACTGTAGTGTGTTTTTGTGAAYGTATGGAAACTTATGATACAAATAGAACAGGAAGCAGGAAAAAAAACATTTATGTAAACTTGACTTATCCCTGAACCGTTGTGTTTTTATATAAGTGTCCTAAATTCGGAGCTCCACAACTAAATTTGTCAATTAGGAGCTATTTCCACTGTAGAAATATTTAGAGCAGTTTTCCTCTACAGGCTTCCTGTTAGAGCTGAATATAAACACGTCCAGTTGCGTGCACGTGGGCCACACTTCTGCATAACGTAGAAACTGCTACTATTAGAGGAAATCATCACAATCACGGACACAGATGCTCACACGCGCAAAGACTGGTTTGAATCCGTGGCGCCGRCGTGTGTTTTTACAGTCGGCTCAACTCCGTGACAGCAGCCTTCCTCCATWTGAACCGAACTCATCCTCCTTTTCTCACCTAACAGATAGTGAGCCGGCTTCAAATACGCAACGCCAGCATTTCTGTCATGTATATGTGCTCTGCTGAAAACAAAGTGGGCAAAGATGAGCGGCTGATCTATTTCTATGTTACCAGTGAGTATACACACACACACAGACACACACACACACACACACACACACACGTTCGCAAGTTTTATTTTTAAAATAACTATTGAACAAATCATTTTGGGTTTATGTGTTTAGGTTGTGGGATAAACTGTATAATTTGTTTATTGTGTTACAATAAAATAGAAGGATTCTTGTGGTGCTCACAGTGTTATAAAATAGTATATATATCAGATAAAGAAAATGAGATTAATTCAATATTTAAAAACATTTATCCTGTACAGGTCCAGATGGGATGAGTTCAAGGGCTCATAAAATAAATTATTTTAAAAAAGCATTTTACTTAACATGCCTCACTTGTGAATAAAACTCAAAACACTGAATACGCTCACTGACAAGAAAAAACAACAAATGTAAATGTGTGATTCTGAGTTGTTTTGTTTTACTTAAAGACCAACAGAGGATCTATAAAATGGTTTGAGTTGCTGGCATGTTCAGAAACACACATCAGATCTTGTAATGGAAGTATTAACAATGGAGTGACACTGTTATCAGGCAGTTGCTGGGGAGTTTGACAGTCAATCGAAACAGTGAGTGAAGGTCAACAGATACAGCGGATGTCTTGTAGACACATTAGACAACATCATCAGCATCTTGTAGAGTTTTATTGGGGCCATATTGTGGGTTTGCATGGRTACCTCAGGAAATTCAAATACTTAGACACATTAAGCTTTTTAATCCTTTTTTCCACATTTAAAATCATTCAGTTTGGGTCTATGTAAAGTGGACCTGCAAATGCTTTGGTCTGATTTCCTCCTTGGTGTAACTCCACAAACCCCTCTTTCACACCTTTTCTAAGGTGTGTCTCAGATTTTGACGCTGTTTCTTTAAATGCAAACGGGGAGCGTCACGTCCCCCTCTCCAGCTTTCAGATGGATTCATGATAGAGGGGGTAACGTCTATCTAGCAATGTAGAAACCTTTTTTATAAATAAATTAAAAGATATCAAAAACAGAAGCCTCACACGTTGAAGCCAAAGTCTGACCCAGAACCAGACAATGAAACTGTAGATTGTAAGTCCAGACTTTATTCTGCAGTTTTGTCACAAATAATTTGATGAAACAGTTTAGAAAACGTCATGGAAAATAGAGAAAAACATGACTCAGACAGAATACAAAGATATCTGTGCAACACCGGAAGAGGCTAAATTCAAATTTTCTTCACTTCTAAAGACTTCAAGAACCCAACAAAATGCATTTAACAGCTGAAAAWTTGTATTTTGCATAATATGTCCCATTTAAGTACTTCAGWTACTCAAGTTCTATGGATACCTCAGGTAATTACAGTAAATACTTCACATCCAGTAGTGATTGGARGGACCTGCTTGCGATGTTAATGTCCTTCATTCAGGTCCCACAATCTTTGCTCTATCAAACATGTGAGATTACAAGACCTTTCCACACCAAACTGACTGCTTCACTATTTTTGTCAGTAAGTTTAACACAGACTTAAAGTGAATAGTGGTACTTTTTTATCTTAGAATATTTCTTAAAAACAGTATGCTGCATGTTTTAGGGTTGGGTTCTTTGAGCATGYATGAATTGTTTCTGAAGCCTTTGTTTAAGCTTTGTGTAAAAAAAAGTTTTATCTTACTCGTCCACAAAACTGAAGATAACCGCAAACAGTTTTATCTTTTACTGCTTGCAGTGACCTCCCTGTATATGTCCCCACATTTATTACCTGCAACATTTTAATGCCAGAGAAATACTCGTAATAAAACTTTCCAGGATGAGGCTGGCCTTCGGGGTCTCCGCATTAGGAAGCACAAAATACRTTTCACTGTCCACCGTTTTATTGGAATACTCAAAACAAAGACCGTTTCCATCAACCTACCCTGGTTAGATGCTATTGAATTTAAGTGTGAGCCTTCTTTATATCTTTTTTTATTGTTGTGTTTTGGACGGATTGATCTTTTAAAGAATGCTTTTTCATCACTGTATAATACAAARCATCTCACCGGCTCGTTCTCACCCTTAAAGCCATCCCTGAGGGCTTCAGCGTGGACGTTCGACCCTCTGAGACTCCTCTGGAGCAGGACAGAGTGTCCCTGCGCTGCAGCGCCGACAACTACACCTACGACCAGCTGCAGTGGTACCGCCTCAACCAGCAGGCCCTGCAGGACCAGCGAGCCAAGCCCCAGGAGCTGGACTGCAGCAGCGTGCACCTCTACGCCAAAGCCCTCCAGGGCCAGCTCTTTTTCCAGGAGCACTCCAACAGCTGGGTGTCGGACTTCACCGCCGAGCCCGTCCGGCTGCAGGACGAGGGGCATTACGTGTGCACGGCCCAGAGCAGGCGCAGCGGGGAGAAGCAGTGTCTGTCCAGATATATYTCTGTCAAAGGTGAGGATGTTTAAAAAAAAAACATGAAAGCCCSAGAAACGAGAACATATTCACTCCAACTGCAGCTAATTGCAGGGCAAAGTGGTGCGGAAATGCTGGAAGCGTACAATTTCACACACTCACAAAGGCATGCCCACACTCTTTGGTACCCACGCACGTTGGGGAGAGTACCTGGTGTTTGCACAACGATATACAGAGGCAGAAAACAGAGCYGGGGCGCTCCGAGGCAGAAATACACAAACCAGTTTTTATGCTTCATTCATGTCCTGTGCTGAAAAATCCTTACATCACTTCATGTATTTATCTATACTTACCTTTTCAGTTACACAGGGTTACATGTAYGATTCTGTTGAACACGTCAGTGGAGCAAAGATAAAAAAGAATTCAATTTTTTATTATTTTTTTTCTTAACTCCTGTTTTTGCTTTGTTGTTGTTGTAGCCCTGGAGGCGCCTCGGTACAAGCGCAGCCTCACCAACCAGACGGTGAACGTGACGGAGTCTCTGCGGATGGAGTGCGACGTGGAGGGCAGACCTCTGCCCCGCTTGTCCTGGTTCAAGGACAGCCAGCCTCTCCACCAAATGTCAGGTGAAATAAATAAATAAAAATCCACCTACGCACAGGTGATGCAAACATTTACGCAACACTGCCCACCTGTGTCAGCAGCCCCCCACACACACAAACTCTCACACACCGGCAGGAAGGCGAAGTCTGGGGAGCCTAATTAGGCCGACTTTAAAGTTATCCACTTCATTACGTAGAGAAAACATGAAGCAATTAAAAAGAAGGAGGGCATCCTTCACGGCAGCAGGAGATAAACTTTAGGTGACTTTTCCGTTAAATGTAAGAAACTACAAATGTTGTTAATATTGACCTCATGTTGCTGAGTGAGTGCCGTACAGAGCCACTGACAAGAACCCCTGCRCTGAATAAAACCCAGCTGTCCAACAGACACGACTCATTTCTATTCTCATCCTGCGTCGTCCCTGAGTGCTGAGTAGGTTTGATTGACAGCCGGTGCTTCAGGTTAACTCGGACGGCCTGCTAAGACATGTAGCCTGACATGTAGGATGATGGAAGAATAAATGAGTGCTTCAGATTGATACCCAGGCGTGTGACGAGAATCCAAAACAAAGGCAGTGTGAATTAAAGGCCTAGTGTTACTTGAAGGAATGCTTGTCGCCCAAGGTTTAGACTAAGATCATCTTATGAGAACTACACAAATCCATATGTGATCAATCCTGAAAATAACATTATRTGCTCTCATGAGATGTTAGCACTTACTGTGAATGACTCTCAGCTACTACCRCACCAAAGTTTTGCTCAGTCTCTGTAAAATTCATTGAGTTACAGACATTTCTTTTACAGGGTTGTGTCAATTAGATGTGGTAGCCATTTTGAATAGAATTTATCTGCTGATAAGGAAGCTTTCATTAAAATTCATCCAATGAATCATGAGATATTTTGGTAATGGTACAAATAAACACACACACACACACACACACACACACACACACACACACACACNTTTATATCCTTATTAGGACTGTTCATTAATTTTTAGTTGTTTCCATAGCCTAACCATGATCCTTTACTCTAAACCTAACCACCCCAGTACATACCTAACCCTAGCCCTAACTATAAACTTAATTTACACCTTAGTCTAAATCTAACGCCCAACCCAAAAATGGGGTTCCACCATATTAAGACTGGTTCCTGGTCGCTATAAGGACTACTGGTCTTGACAAGGTAGGTGTTTGTACCAGAAATAGTCCTAAAACAGAAACAGATACAAGAACAGTTTCTGGAGAAACTATGAGAGGGCTTGCCCCGTGTTGTCCAATTGAATTAATTATTTTTAAAGATTAAAATGAACTGTCTTTTTGAGATCACTGTGATGTATTACCATACCAAATTTGAGCCAAATATGTCTAAAAATGGCCCGGTTATGGTCAAATTAGCATTTTAGCTGTGGCAGCCATCTTGGATCTTTTTCATCTCCAGTATGTGATGCAGCTTATTTTCACCTACTAATATACCAATTTTTAGTTCAAAATGTCAAACTTTGTCTAAGTTAAAGCCCTTTGAAAGCAGCATTAACGGCCATCTTGGATTTTTTTCAGCCACTGTTTGTGATAGTAGCACTCTCAGCTACCAGTGTATCAGTTTTTAGCTTATTATATTGAAAATTGGCTGAGTTAAAGAAGTTTGTTTAGTGTTCAGTTTAGAGGTGGATAGTAATAGGTGCTGCCGTTCAATTGAATTCTGTTCTATTGTAATGGCAAGTCCTCACAAGTACATACCTWCTAGGTCTCTCTATCCTTGTTGTGACTTCCATTCATTTTTTGGAAAATTTATATCCTAACCCTGACCATTTACCCTAAAATTAACCTCACAGGTACCTACCTGACCCTAAAACTAAACTAAACTCAATTCATACTGTGGTACTAATATATGTATATGTAAATATAAAAAAAAATTTCCCTTCTCACTTTCCGCGGGTGGTCTGTTTCATCCTCTGAGCTCGGGTCCTCTACCAGAGGCCTGGGAGCTTGAGGGTTCTGCGCAGTATCTTAGCTGTGCCTAGAACTGCACATTTCTGGAC